AACTTCATGCATACCCCGATCCTACACCCCCACAATGATTCCAGATTCAAATTTCAGGATTCAGGATTGGTTCACCCACAATTTAAATTGTACCAAATTTAGTACACAGTAGCACGAATTTCCAAAACTTCCTAAATACCCCAATCCTTCACCCCGACAGTGATCCTAAATCAAAGTTTCAGGATTCTAACTCTATTGGTTCATCCGCAGTTCAAATCGTATATATTATTATAGAATTTTGTCCATTTTTGATATATAGTATTGGTATTTAATTAAATGGAATAGTTATATAACCCATAAACGCCTAAATTAAGTTTCGGGCTAAATATATGTAAGGTCCGGTTTTTTAAATTCCTTCAATTAAAATAGTGGTTTCGTATGGAGTGCAGTCGAGTTCAGCGTTGATTTTTTTATTTTTTTTTGTATGTCTGTCTAGAACACCATACTAATTTTTTCCTGCGACTCTCGGATTTATGGCATTTTTTTGAAAAATGCCAATTAGGTGTAGGATGCTTTTTTAAGGTTTTGTTCAAATAGAATTAAAAATTTGTGAATTTTGTTGATATAATTGATCAAATATGACTTGTCCGTCCTAAGGTTCCAGAGTAATGGGTGTGAGTATGAAAATGAGGGTATTTAAGTAGCTGCTCCAAACATTGATTTTAAACTCATGCACTGACTATACATATATATCTTATAAAGGAAAAAATCGGAAATATTCTAAATACAAAAATAAACGATCCAGACATAGAGATGGGTCACATATTCCATATAACAATGATCGACGGCAAGGTATTTAGTGCTATATCGGAATCATCCACACAATCATGTGGAATTTGCGGTGCAACGCCAAAAGTAATGAATGATTACAACAAAATTTCGTCATTTACACCAAACATCAACTTATACGAATACGGCCTGTCTACCTTACATGCAAGGATTCGATGTTTAGAATGTATATTGCACATTTCATACCAACTGGTTTTGAAAAAGTGGAAAATTAATAGCTCCGATCGGCCACTTTTCGAAGAGAGGAAGTCACGTATCATTAATGATTTGAAGGAGGAAATGCACATTATTGTTGACACACCTAAGTCAGTATCCGGAACAACAAACAATGGCAATACTGCTAGGCGTTTTTTAGCCAACCTGGCTTGGCATCGTCGATAAATGGTGTTGATGAAAAATTAATTAAAAATTTTTCTATCATCCTTTCAACCATGACCTGTGGATATGCTATTAACGCAGTCGTTTAAAAAAAAAATTACTGAGGAAACATTTATTCTTTTCGTGGAATTATATCCTTGGTCCTATATGTCTTTAAAAAGAATCAAGATATTAGTGCATGGACCTGATATAATTAAATGTGCAGCTTTGCCCATAGTAATGTTGTCTGAAGAAGCCACGGAATCCAGAAATAAGGACAGGGAACTGTACACCAGAAAAATTTGTCGTGAGGAAACAATGAGGGATCTTTTTAATAGGTTGCTATTTTTTTCTGATCCAAAAATATCAAGTTTGTCTCGTAGCACATCTCTTAACCATCGATATAGTGAGCCACTATCTGAAGAAGTCCTTAAACTACTGGAGGATCCAATGCTACCAAATAATACATATCAAAACTCGGATTCTAAATGTGATTAGTATTTAATAAGTAATGCCTAAATTTTATAAAATATATATAGTTTAATGTTTTAGATATATAATATTAACAATAATAAAGATACATATAATAACAATAATGTTTGCCCTTAACCCACTTTTTACCGTCCGAATGTTTTGGAATTTTTAAAAGAAGCTCCCATTTTAGGAGTACTATTAGTTATAATGAAAAATGTTGCTTATTAAAAAGTTTAAAAAGCCAAATTTTTTCATAAAATAATTAAAATTGTCCATCTAAATCTATTCTTATCCAAAATATCGATAAACATACAGTAAAACATCTACTTTTATTTTCTGCGCGCTAGATCTGCATATTTCCCACTTTGCACCCCACAGTGATTCAAAATCCAGGTTTCAGGATTCCAACACTATCGGTTCACCCACAATTTAAATTGTACAAAATTTAATATACAATAGTACCAATTTCCAAAACTTCCTACATACCCCAATCCCACACCTCCACAGTGGTCCTAAATCAAAAGTTAATGATTTCAACTCTATCGCTTCACCCAAAATTTAAATTGTACCATATTTAGTACACATTAGTACAAATTTCTAAAACTTCCTACATATTTAAATCTTACAGTTCAACAGTGATCCTGACTCCAAATTTCATGATTCTAGCTCTATTGGTTCACCTAAAATAAAAATGTACCAAATTTAGTACAATTTAGTCCCCATAAATATTAATTTTTTAAACTGAATCCTGTCCCTAAACCTACATCCCTACAATGATCCTAACTCCAAACTTCATTGTTCCAGCTCTATCGGTTCACCCAAATCCAAATTGTACCAATTATAGTACGATTTAGTACTTTTCGTACACATAAGTAAAAATTTCCAAAGCTGCGTACATATCCCAATCCTACACTCCGACGGTAATGTTACTTTAAATTTTCAGGATTCCAGCTCGACCTCCAAATCAAATTTGTACCAAATATAGTACCATATAGTACTTTTCGTACACATGAGTACACGCTTTCCAAACTCTCCTCATATCGACCCTAATTCTCAACCTTAATTTGCATTCCAAATTTCAAGTTTTTACCTCAATCCATTCACTGCTACGAAATTGTACTAAATTTAGTTCATTTCAGTACTTTCGGATACTTATAGTTCGAATTTCCTTTGCTACATCTATTCTACACTCCATCAGTGACCCTCAATCCAAATTTCAGAGTTCTAGCTCTACGGATTCGCCAAATACAAACGATTCCATATTTAGTACTTTGAAAATAATTTTTATCGCGTTTATCTGGAAGTAATTAATTTACTTTTTGAGTAGTTTAAGTATGTATATATGCAAATTATTTTTATGCTTTATTATTTATGTTTATGCTAGGTGTAAGAGGAGCTTAAATAAATGTTGTATTGTGTAACTATCAATGGCCAATAGGGTTTGTTGCAAAAAAGCGAAATAAATTGAATTAAATTTATTATGCATGAAAACCACTTAACTTTTTTTTTGCTTTTTTGTTATTCACCTCAAGTGGCCCTATTTTGTATTGTTGTATCATGGATATAGCGGCTAAACTAATACATAAACACATCAATACGATCTCGAAAATACGATAACTACAGAATTCATAAATTTTATAACAGCCTGTTTTTGTAAAATTCTAAACGAACGAATTCGAGTGACTTACGACCAAACCTTTGTTTATGTAAACAAATATTTTTTGATTCAAAACAAAAATAAATGACATATTTTTCAAAACCAAGGAGTTTGGTCGTAATTCACTCGAATTCGTTCGTTTAGAATTTTACAAAAACAGGCTGTAAGGAGGTGAAACTAGTTGCCGTAAGTGGGTATATTGAAGACTTTTTGTAACTGGAATGTTGTCTTCCCTACAAGGCTAATCACATATTAACCAGCAAAAACATAAAAGATGTTTACAAGTTTACCCTTATTTCAAAGTATTTTGATGTCCTATTCAAGAAAAAATAGATTCATATAAGATCGACCAACTACAATTAAAACTAATTGGCAGCAGATTGTAGCTGTCATAGATAATTCAAAAAAAAAAAAAAAAAATTGTATACAGTACGAATTCGGATAAGCGAACGCCGGTTTATTGAAAAATTCGGTTAATTGAAACTAAAAATTTTAAACTAATTTTTCGGATGAATTTTCAAACACTCTACTACTTTGCTTAAAAGAAAGATCAGTTAATTGAAAATCTGTATAAGAGAAAGACTTTTTTGTTGCAAAAATACAATTATATATGAAACGAGCACCGTTTAAGAGAAAAAAAAATCATTTTTGTAAATTTGAATTTTTTCAAATTTTTATGTGCAACCCTAAAATTATGTTGCACATTTTTCCAACCATCCAAGAAAATGTCTACGAAAAAAATAAGTTCTTACTCAATTCATTTCATAATATGATTTATAAATTTCACGATTTTTCAGATATTGATTGAAAACTTCGTTTAAGCGCAACGAGTTTCAATTATCCGAACTTCTTTTAATTGAAAATTCTGCTTAAGAGAAAAAAATTTTCTTAAATTAGGCGTTTTCCCTTAACCGAATTGATATCTTTTTTTATCGAATGCCTCACTTTCCCACCGCCGACCGAGGGGGCGACCTCCCCTTTCGTAGAGATCGCGTACACACCATAATCCGCATTATGATGGAATATGTGAAGGGATATAAAACCAGCTACAGAAATCTACTTCAACAGCCAGTTTGTTATTAAGTTGTATTATTAATTTATTATTAAGAATGTGTTTCAATTACAAACATTGCTATGAATATTCACGAATGGCCATCGTTTGAATTATTACTCCGTTAGTTTTATTAACTAAACGTATTATTACCTGAGCCAAGTCCATCGACATATCCATAAAAACTGTTTTGTAAAGTCAACGATAAATAACGTTTTCTCGAGTGTCATATAGTTATGTGGAGGAAAAATTCCCCATTTCGATTTTATTTCAAAAAAAAAAAAAATTCAATAGTACATATTCAATTATTGACGGATTTATAATATCCAAGTTAACGAAAATAAAATTATATTAAATTATTAATCCAAGTTACACATGTAGAAGATTTTAAAGCAAAATTCAAACCGTTTTCCGACAGCTATCTCAACTGAAGAAATAAGTAATCCAATCATAAGTTTATAGTTGAAAAACTGTTTCTTGAGTTATTGATGTTGATTAACGCAAATATCGAAAACTATTCATTTTTGTGAATTAACTAATATTAGTGTTTTATAAACCAATTGTAAGGAGAGTAAAAGGCAATATGCACGGGAAAGAATTACTCAGCCAAATATGATTAAAATGCGAATGGCTTCATCCTCCCGTGAATATCTTAAGGCTATTAAAGCGTAAATTAAAAGACTCCATTCTCTGTTGATTGTTTTTGTACTTCACGTTGGAATATGTAGTCCGCTACTAGTTCAGCTTCTTGTCGTCGATTTTTATCAAGTTTTGGTTTCATAAATACTCGATAGCTTACAGATATAATTAATGTAGAGAATATTCCGATTGCCATCATACCAGTCGAAGACGTGGAAAACTGTTTCAAATTGTTAATGATACTCATCTGAAAGAAGACAAAAAAACACGAACATTAATAAAATGTTTGCCTTCAATTAAAATAAACATTCTAAATGTGGTAGTGGCTGGGCACACTGACTTTGATGGTATTTCTTGATCATTAGTTGCACTATTTTTAGGTCCTTCCTCCTTCTTCCACTTCAAAATTAATGGCTTCCAAATATAAACACCTCCCAAAAATCCAATGGCGGTAACTACCATTAATTGTTGAGTTGTAATGCCGCGAGGACGACGAATTTGCATGGTAGAATTATTGTATTTAGGGTGTTAAATAACAATCAACATGACACTTCAATGTAAAACTGAACATATGTTTTTACCACGCAGGCGGTAAGAACACAATGGTAACGTTAGCGTTTGTCGATTCACGATATATGACATCAACAAATGCTAGCGTCGTTGCAATTTCCAAGATTGTTAGAGAAATTAATAACAAATCTAATTTATAATACAATTACAAAATTTAATAAAAAAATATATACAAACACATTTGCACGTTGGGGTACTATTATCTCCGGCAGCTAATGAACTGCTTCTTCTTCCCCCTTCTACAAATTAATCAGACTTTTGATGACATATTCAACATGTCTCTCAAATATTATTTTTTAATGATGTTAATCGATTAAATCATGTATACCACAACTGACAAAACTTTTCAATTTTATAAAGGATAAATAGTTTGTGGAAAAAAATCAAATATTTATATATATTTAGAAAAAATACTCTATAATCAATTTCATTTTAAATTATGTACAGATTATTTCATTTTTCTTCATGATTTTATGTAAGTTATATTTACACAAATATTGCCAATTACTTATAGCAATAGTTTATAAAATGAGAAATGTATCACATCACAGTAATGTAGAACTTCAGTGAATCATGCCTTGCTATCACCGCAAAAAGAAATGAAAAATAAAACAATACGGTTTTTTTTATTATCTGTTCAAAATGAAACAAATAAAAAGCACTCAATAAGAAAACAACACTTTCATTGCATAAATTGAGAGAAATCGCGTTCATAAAATCTTCAACAGGAAAATAGCGGGACTCTCGCTCATCCCACACATAATACATGTACTGCTCATCTACATATGTATGTATGTAGGCTAGGTACGGTAAAATACTCATAAGATTAATGATGTACTCTTATATGAGCGCAAAAGGGAAACAAAACTGGTTTTAAAATTTAAATGCAAAATCTCTATCCAAGATCAAACCATTTTGTATTGAAGCTTGAGACAAAGAAGACGATACAGCGAAACTGCAGCCAACGATTTGATTTGAGTTATACTAAAAACAAACAAAGCCAAATAAAATGATAATAAGAAGAAGAGGGCAGCACCTAATGTGTTCCGTAGTATTTGTTGTACTGCTAAATGTGATCATAAATGTAAGAGCAACCAAAGCACCGGCGCCAGAACCTATAATACCCACAAACACGGTGACTCCAACGGGAATCTTCAATGTAATACCCCAAACTTTTGACAACGGCCATTACGCCTACGATGATATCGACGACTATGTTCCGTTTAACAGTGACGCTCATGACCAATTTTCATGGGAACTCTTAAGATATGTATTGGAGGAGGAGAAATCGAACGTGATTATATCGCCTTTCTCAGTAAAGCTGCTTTTGGCCCTACTGGCCGAAGCTGCGGGCAACAACACTCAAACACAAAATGAATTAGTGAAAACACTCGACGTGATTAAATCACCTGACAACCTACGTGGTTTTTACAAAAAGATATTGACATCGTTGAAAAAGGAAAATCCATACCACACACTAAATTTAGAAACGCGAATGTTTACAGATGAGTTCGTTGAACCAAAACAGCGATACGCAGCAATGTTGGCAACATTCTATGGTACAGAAATCAAACGGCTAAATTTCATGGATACCCAAGGGTCGGCAGACCACATAAACGGCTGGTGTAAAAACGTTACAAATGGACGTTTGCAAAGCCTTGTTACCAAGGACACCATACAGAACAGTGTTATGATTTTGGCAAATGCCATTTACTTCAATGGTTTGTGGCGCAGACAATTTAACGAATCATTTGATGGCGTCTTCTTCAAAACACCCGATGTACAGAGCAAAGTTCAATATATGGAACAAACAGAATATTTTTATTATTATGACCACAGCTCGCTTGATGCGAAGATTTTGCGATTGCCATACAAAGGCAAGAAATTTTCCATGTTCATTTTGCTACCGAAGACAAATGGCGGTGTAGAGGAATTAACGAAAATACTGCAAAACGATCAGGTCAAGCGCATGCAATTCTTAATGGAGGAAACCAAAATTAAAGTAACACTGCCAAAATTTAAATTCGAATTCGATAAAAACCTCAAGAGTACACTTTCTGCATTGGGAATTCGAGATATCTTCACGGATGAAGCCTCGCTTCCTGGCCTCGACAGGGGTGCTAATGTTGCCGGCAAATTGAAAGTTTCGAACATTTTGCAAAAAGCTGGAATAGATGTCAATGAAAAGGGCACAGAGGCGTATGCCACAACTGTTATTGAGATCAGCAATAAATTTGGTGGTGATAGCACCATAGAAGAATTCAATGTCAACCGTCCTTTCATATTTTTCATAGAAGAAGAGGCCACTGGCAGCATTATATTTGCTGGCAAAGTGTTGGAACCAACAGTTTGATAGAAGACCCAAAACATGTAAATTTATTACAAATAAAAGTAACATACTTACATATATATTTATAATGGTTTTCTATATTAATATTAAATAAGTAAAACAACGTACATATGGTTTGAATAAATGATCAAACACTTTGTCAAATAAAGTGAAGTGAATAGTTGTTAATGGGAAGATATTACCAACACAGTCAAAATAGAATGGCTACGGGTCGACGTAGAATATCTATTTTATACGTGGAATGGAGGAGATTTGTACAAATATCACGGAAGTAACGTCTGTTATATATAAGTTTTTGTGTAAATGTATTAAACGGCATATACATTAGAACTTTTTACCGGGTTAACCTACTTTATGAGGATTTATTTGACATATATACAAAGAAATTGACAATTGAGACCCACTGGCTTAACGAAATCCGGTTAAATGTAAACGTACTACTAGGCACTCCTACTAATCCGTTCAATATTCCCTTCATAATTTAAGGATTGTGTAAAACTATCCTTACATTATGTTTGTTTTTTTTTTTTGTATAAGTCGGATATATTCCACTGTGACACATCATGGGGGGTGTAAATTTTTTATGGGGATGAAAGCTTGTGGAAGGATGAATTTTTTCGGTAATTCAAAGATGCATGAAGAAAAACTTTTATATATTTGTTTACGGCTATTGTAGATCATTTTTGAGGTGGCATTTCTACAATCAAGGCGAATGACAAGATTTTTTTGACCTTCAAATTCTACATAAACGTCGCTCGTAAACTTTTAGGTAGGCTCTCCAATGACATGAAATCGATATTTGTATGTTTTCATCGTCCTTTCCACTTTCTACCCAGCAGTCGCTTCCGAATCGCTACGGCAAAAATGTGTTTCATCGAAATATTGGTTTTAATCCTATGTTTCATTGAACCAACGGTCCGTTTCGGACAATTTATAGTCGCCTATTTTTGACGACAAACTAACTTAAAAAATAAGGAAGATGTTCACAGATTGAATTTTCCTAGTTCATATGCGCTCACAGAGAAACGTCTCTCAGTTATCCTGTCCGCCATTTGTAAAAACACTGTTTCGAGAAAAGCACGTTTAATGATTGAGAAGCACCGCAGCCGTCGTTTGATTGACGCTATCTAAAATCTTATGTGGAAAGTTTTTGTGGAATATTTGCACGTCAAAATCTCGTATCGTGGTTCAAGAAAATAAAAAATATGCAGAAGAACTCGAGATAGAAGGAAAATATGTTTTACAAAAAATTCCTCATACGATTTGACTGAAGAAATATGATCTCAAAAATAATCCACTATAACCATCAACAAAGATATCAAGATTTTTTACCCACGGCCTTTAGAATTACCAGCGAAAAAAATTATGGCGCCATAACACAAACACTATACCTATGGCGAATGTGTCTTTCACGATATACTCGCCAAGGGCTTTCATCCCCATAAGAAATTTTCCTTCAAAGTGAATACTGGTTTATCGGACGGGGCAGAGAATCGATTAAAGTCCAACATCACGTGCGGATGTCTACCACCACGGTCAGTGTTGCCAAAACTTTGTTGAGAAAAAATGCTAGATTTTGTTTGAAATAGTGCTAGAAAGTGCTAAAATTTTTAAAAAAGTGCTAAAAAAATAATGAGATCTGTACTTCTTAAAAATTCGTATCCTCCAACACAAGAAGGAGTGTATATTTGTTTGCAACACCTCGAAGTCCAGAATTCTCAATCAGAATAAAATTCTATCTTATATTTTTCTATTCTATATGTTTCTATCTGTAATTTAACCCTTTCAGTGTCAAACAATTTTTTGTCGGAATAAAAATCTAAAATGTTTTACTTAAAATCATATGAAGGCACAGAGTTTAGAAAAAAAAACAATTGTTATTTTTACACTCGGACAGATTTGTCTGTCTTTCAGCAAAAACAAAGACAACATTTGTAACGGTACATAGGATAACCGAAAATTTTCAAAGGAAGAGAGCAAGGTTTATTCATAAGGTTAACAGGCAGGCGAATTCATGCCTTAAACGGCATATACATTAGAACTTTTTACCGGGTTAACCTACTTTATGAAGATTTATTTGACATATATGGAAAGGAATTGACAATTGAAACCCACTGGGTTAACGAAATGCGGTTAAATGTAAACATACCATTAGTCACATTTATTTCACATTGCGGGTTTGTGAAGGCTAGCATACATTTATGCAGAAAATGATAAATAAAATAAAGGTTTGCATAGAGCACCACATTTTTTAAGTTTTGGTCGCATTCTCTGGGTTCTTGTAAGGTAAAACATATTTGTGCAGAAAATTGTCTATATAGGTCTATGTTTGGACATAGTACCCATATAAATGTCATATTTGCTGTAATTTAATTTTTTTTAATTTAAAAAATTAATAAATAGGTTTGCCTAAACTTTTCTTTGGCATAACTACCATATAAAGGTAACGCGACTTATTTTCGGAATTTTTAAATGGTTATAAATTGGGTTTCCTGATTCCCAGTGGATAAATAACTTCTTTCCAGATGTTTCCAACATAGTTTCATGATTTTTACATCGCTGCTATACAATTTCCCCTCTGAATTTCCTAGCCCAGGTTTACAACCTGATTGTCTATGCCATATTCACCATATGAATAAAGTTTGGTCCGGCAGAGCTTTATGAGTTGCAATAAAACTCAAAAAAAGTTCTAGGTTCTAGATCACTTTTTTTGGTGCTAAACGAGATAAAAAAGTGCTAAATCTAGCACTAAAAGTGCTAATTGGCAACACTGTCGAAGTCAGCCCGAAGGAGAGGCAGAGGTACACCACAGGGGTTTTTTGTTAGTAGTGGGAAAGTGGAGGACAAAATGTCGACCATGGCAATGACAATACAATGACAAGGACTTGGAAACTAAACCTAATACGCCCAGTTATCAACCAGGCTCGGTTAGATAACAGTTGGTACCCTGACTGCAAACCAAAAAACACTGATAGGTACAGTTCTGCATAACACCCCAGCGTTAGGAAGCCATCCTTCAGGGTAGGAGACCAGAAACCCATGTTTTCTGGCTCGTTTGGGGCGCCAATATTCGCCTCGCCAGTTTAATGATCATTGGCACTCGGCCATTTTCGTCCAAGACTCTGTCCGCCACTGCTTATTTTATATAGGGCATCCCACTATCTGCAACCTGTGGCTGTGGCGGATATACTCAATAGAACAAATATTCTAACTGAATCTATATTTTTCAGCTAAGCCTATTTTTTACCTTATTATTTTTCGCAGATGGCTGTACTGATAGATTTCACGTAAAGTATCGATCAAATAATTTCAGATTTATGCTCGTTGGAAGGGTGAAATTTCTCAGTAAAAATTTTGCTGGTTTTTTGTTTGGCGCATTCAGTTCTGAGTTACAGGGTGTTAAAAATGGAAGTGAACAATGAGAAAATGTTGGGACAAATGCAATTACAAAAATCAGAAGACATTTGAAATAGAGTTCTGATACTAAGATCCATGCCCTAGATTATTTTTCTTAAAATAATAATAGGACATGTTGTTCCTTAAAGTACCTAAAATGTTGCTATGCCACGGGAAATTTCAAATCAGGTGGTATCATTCAGCATTATTTCGTGTGCCCTTGTCGTTGTCGACGACGTTTATTTGTCGACATCACTTCGCATGGTAGCTTGGGCGAGTATAAAATTACAGCCAAAAACCGAATATAAAGGGATACCATTATATGGGGGTTATTTGAATACTTGGTTCAATATTGATATTAGCTCTGTCTGTTAACTCGATATTTGGTAACAATTGTTACCAAATGTTACTAAATGTTGTCTGTTTACACAAAAATCCAGTAAAAGAGAGTCAAGTGAGAGAGCAAGTTTGAAAGTTGAACAACAACAAAGTTGCTGGAGTTTACTGAAAGAATTTTATTCAGTAAGATTTTGCAACTCAGCCATTTTCTGATCAGCTGTTTTCTGACCAAACACAAAAATTATTTAAAACATTTTTTTGTTTAATTTGCAAAGTTCAATTTGAAGTTAATTACAGAAAATGGAAAAAAATTCGTAAGTAATGCAAAGTTTCATTAAATTAGAAACTAATTCCTTATATATTTTTAGGGAAGTTCCAGATAGAGGGCATTGATGCAGGGAGCGTAAATGTTCCCGGGTAACATACCAGATCAATTTTTCTTTTATTATTCATTTTATTTTTAATATTAAGTGCGATACAAATAATTGTGTTCGTCCTTTGTTTGTTGTTTACTTTGGCGCAAATCATACGTTTTCTTGAATCAGCTGTTTAATTGCTAAATCTTACTAAATGTTGTCCGTTTACATTTTTCAGTATTATAGCACAAGAGAGTAAGAAAGGCTTACTCTCTGAACTAGAACTTACTGAATAAATGTTACTGGAAAAGTAACCAGACACACCTATTATTAATTTGACAGATTTTCTGCTCAATAAGTATCCCTAATATTAAATTAGAAGCAATTCTGTTGTATATTGGAGGTACCGTTATATGGGGGCCCACCTAAAAAGTGAACCAAAATTTAACATTTTCAATGCCAAATACTTTATGACTACTAGAAATTTATGTGCAAATTTCAATTTGTTTTAATTAAAAAAAAAATATTATAAATAAGCTTATATCCACCGAAACTTTAGAAGGACAAAATAGCAACAAGAGTCGCACATGAATATCATATTGTAAATATTCAGTACTGTAATTTTACTTTATGTGTGCTCCTATAAATACCACGGTTTTACAAAAATAAATCTAAAATTCCGAAAATTATACATCAACAATATTGCTATGCAAGACAACGTTTGCCGATCCCGCTAGTCTATGCGAAATGTTGATGTTTCAATGTAGGGAAACATTAGAATGAGGGAAAAAACCAAGGGCATTACCAATGTATTGTATCATACCTGTTAGTATTCAAATGACTTCAAATCTAAATAATATTTATATATGTGTACCAAAACAAAGTCAGTGGGATTTTTATTTACGTATATATATGTAATACTTACTTCCACCTCCAGTTATGATTGCAGCTGGTTGTTGGGAAATGTGGATCTTATTTGTCTTAACATTTTGCAAATGTACATTTGGCATTCCACCATGCATTGCCGGATAGTGGTTATGATGGTCGGTAGTTTTTGAATGTTGTTGATTTATTTCTACTACATCCGTTGCATATTTTAAATGTTGACCAGAAGGGACTGATGATCGTCTACCTCCCGGATTGTTACTGTGGCGATTATAACGAGATGTTGCATTTGCGCCATTCGTGGACATGTTATTGTGCTGCTGCTGAATGTTGTCCACCATACCATTGGAATCGTTGAACAGATTTTGTAATGCTTGCAAACGTCGGTTTCCAGTATTACTACGAGAAGTATTCCCATTATTTTGGTTTATAGGCTGACTACAACTCCTATTCGGGGGCAGTTGCTGCTTTGCCACCTGGGCTGCTGCGTTTAACTGTAGAATTTTCTGTAAACCCAAAACATTTGTCTGCTCCTCAAGCTTCCGCTTAATCAAAGCGTTCTGCATTATTAAATTGGCATGTGTTTGTAATTCTTCTTGGCTCATGGGTTGAATGCCTGAAGTTCGTTTTCCAGAGTTTTGCATTTGTTGGTGTTGTTGTTGCTGTTGGGCTGCAATTGTCTGTTGAACGATAGCTAAATTTTGGAGATTTTGTAGCTGATTCATTAATAAATTATTTGACAATACATCATATTGTTGTTGCTGTTGTTGCTGTGCAGACGTAAAAGTGAGCACTGCTGTAATAGCTTCTCGATCTCTTTGTGGTAATCTTGGGTTGGCCAATTGAATAAGCAAACCATGCTTGGAAATTTCACCTGTACGAAAGAACAAGTTTAAGTATGCCAAAATTATTGAATGAAAAACTTGGGAAATGAGCGGATATCTAATTTATAATTTAATTTTAATTAAGTACTAACCTTTAGCTAGTCCCAATAACAACATCTGAGCTTCAGGACGACCTAAAATTGCTTTTAGCTGTAAATTTGCAATTAGAGCAGCCTGTTGCTGCTGCAAAAAAGCATTCTGCTTGCTATATGTCGACTGCAACGGATGAGGTGTTATTGAAACTCCAGGCGTTGGTTTCGGTTGTTGCTGTTGCAATTGGGGATTTTTGAATATAAAATTAGATAAATTTGTATTATTAAACAAATTGTTGGATTGTGCCTTGTTTGGATGTGTCCCCTTGGACAACAATGAATTTGTATTACTATTCACTGTAACACAATTTTTCAATTGTCCAATGAGCTTTTTGAAATTTTCTGAATCACGACTCACATTATTATTATTGGCATCATTTGGTAAAATATCGCTGTTTCTACTATTCGATGAATTTTGTCGCCACTTGGCTTCCAATTCATCAACTGATGTCATTTCGGCAATGTTAACATTTCCAGCTGAACAACCAGCATTCGACGTAACAACATTCTGCTGCTGCGGCATTAACAAGTGCAATGGGTCCGTTTTGCTTTGTGAATTCACGGCATGTTTAAAGAATTCGTTTAACGAAGCAGACGAAGCGCTCTTTTCCAACTTCTCACCAGTGTTGTTATTCGAAGAGCAGCCGGAAAAAAATTGTAAAAAGCGAGAACTTCCATTGTGATTCTGATACTGGTTGTTATTACCAACATCGTTCAAGTTGCGATTAGGATGGTTGGAAAGATTGTGGGCGCGTGCTTTATTGTTTGCAGAAAAGTGATCATATTGAAATGGTAGGGATTTTTTTTCATTGTGATGTGACTTTAATGTGCCAGCCATTTTAGCGTCTTTTTGATGAGTCTGAATGTTATTATTGGCATCACTTTTCGAAGATAGCTTGCGCAATCTATTTGACTTGGATTCATTCTGTAATTTCAAAAACAAAATATATATATGTTGTAATTTCTAATCTACCCAGTAGAAAATATTCTCTTGCGTGACAATTTCATTAACGTTTCATTGACGTGAAACGTTGACGAAATTTATGGAATTGTCATTCATGACTAAACACATGATATGTCGTCGAAAATGTCGTCCTTCTCGAAATATGAAAACAAAACAAAAATAGTCTGAATCGAGTGTACTATGAAATATTGACAGAAACAAATAGAAAAATGTTCTGAAAATATATAAGAAATTTAGGATAAAGAAGACCAGTTTTCTTGGTTAAAATAGATAAGTTTAACTGAGTATATAATTATTTGTATCATTATTTAAATGTTTTTTTTACTCTTAGGATGGGGCAAATAAATGGCAATTGGTGAAATATTGCAAGTAATATCTTAAAGATGTTTCATATTTTAATGCGTTTAAATGTTGTTTCTCTACAGATGAAGTTAACATGGAGAAAATCATCTCGACAACTTCTAAGGCAATGTGTTTATTTATATTATCTTATATAATAAATTACATGCTGTAAAAAATATAAATTGAAAATGTATATGTATATTTTTATTTGAATTTTAATAGGGGTATGATTGATGACAATGGGTATTCTGTTGTCAACGACTGTGTGACATAGTCGATGATAGTCGTCAACGAAAAGTAGGAAGTTTTGTCGCTGATGTTGTCGTCAACGACAACTTCGCTTACCCTATCGCCCAAGTTGTCTTGCATGAATATTGCGACACTTGTGTGAAAATTTCGTCAAGGATCTCACATTGTTGTCTGCAAATTGTCTTCAAAGAATTGCCATTGTCTTGCACTATTCGTTAATGTTGTCTGCAAGACACTTTCTACTGGGTATATACATACGTACATATATACAAATGAATTACCCCAGTAGAAAATACTCTCATGCCAGACGAAATATATGGAATTGCCATTCTCGGCCACAAATACATGATATGTGACCGAGAATGTCGTTCTTCTCAAAATATGAAAACAAAACAAAAATAGTCGGAATCGAGTGTACTACGACATATTGACAGAAACAAATAAATTTTTTTAACATATAGGGGAAATGTAGGACAAAGAAGGCGTACTTTTTTGGTTCTAATAGGTAAGTTTAACTGAATATATAATTATTTATATCATTATTTAAATGCATTGTATTACTCTTAGGACGGTGCAGATAAATGGCAGTTGGCGAAATATTGTAAATAATATCTAAAAAATGTTTCATATTTCAATTTTTACCACAGGTAGATCCCGTCTCCCAGATGACGAAAATATATGACATTCATGGGAGAAGTCCGTACTTCCCGAGATGTGGAAGTTGCGGAATTCATATGCTCGCTCACAACAGCGTTATTTATGGACCGATGATGGTAATATTGACGGCTGTTTAAAATGTTCGATCGCGTAGCCGAATTTTCCATTTGTCGTAGATAGCCGTCCAAGAATGGTTATTGAAAAAAAAGTTGAAAAAATTGATTTCCGACTGTCCATAGGAGAATGTATTAAGTCATTGGCCGAAGGCCGCCTATTTTGAATAAATTTTAATTAAAACGAATTTATGTGAAAATATAATGTGTACGCTTTGCAACCATACCAATATTACCTTCATCGGTCTATAAATGACGAGCATATGAAGGAAGGAATTTCGGAACTTCAAGGGTCTATATTTCGGGATGTTTGGCTTCTCCCATGGGACCTACGTGTGGTAAAAATGTCATCAGAGATGAGCCTTTAAACTCATATTGTTCCCTTTTTGAGTCCATTTATGCACCTTGCTACGTCCATGTTTTATTTTAAACAAGTTACAGGTTACCTTTATGATCCGAATGGGATAACATTTGGTACACTTCATCCGAAAGGAACGAAACTTTATTTGGCACAAAGACGATCCCAATTGATATTAGTCAAAATCGGTTCAGATTTATATATATATATATATATATATATCCCACATATTTTTCTTTGTTTATCTACACCTTATTTTGAATTACGCATTGAATAGATTCTAGAATGCTATATCTTGTTCTTGTCCGGTCATGTTTTTTTTTTAATTTCTTAAAAAAATGTTCCAACTCTTCAGTCGTCAGCTAAAACAATGACGAAGAAATCTTCGACATCGTCGTCGTCACACTTTGTTACGGAATACCAAAAATGTTTCAATAGTTATCGATAAATGTCGACAACGACATAGGGAATACCAATTTGCAAAAGACGACTCTCTACGTCGTCGTGTTGTGTCGACGACGACATACGGAATAGGGGTGATTGTCTTACACGATTCGTTAATATTGTCCGCAAGACACATTCTACTGGGGCTGTCGCACTATGTCGCGAGTTCATATAAACAGCGGCCAAAAATAGAAGGAGTTATCGCAACTGACAAAAAATTTGATAGATCGGACCAAGATTTCGTATACCTCCCATACAATGGGTCTTGAGAATGTAACCTTTTTTGGACTATAAAATCTTTAATATTCAAACAAATTCAATGAAAATTGGCAATTTACATTTAATTAGGCCTCTAAAGCAACTGACCAAAAACTGGGTAGATCGGACCAAGATTTGATATACCTCCCATACAAAGGGTCTTGAAAATTTTACTATTTTGGGCTATATAATCTTTAATATTCAACCAAATTCAGTGAAAATTGGCAATTTACATTTACTTATGCCTATAAAGCAACTGACCAAAAACTGGGTAGATTGGGCCAAGATTTGATATACCTCCCATACGAAGGGTCTTGAAAAATACACTTTTTGGACCTATAAATTTTTTATATTCATCCAAATTGCAGGAAAATTTTCATGTCTTCTTCCAATTTACATCAAATTTGGGCGAAGAAAGTAATAGGTGCTGTAATTTAGTTGTTGGCCCATATTTCAGGTACCTACCATACCAAAAGTCCCTAAAAATGTAACTTTCTGTACTATAAAATCGTTATATGCAGCTAAATTAAGTATAGTAGTTTTATTTTTGTTATTTTTAATATAATAAAATATTTGATATACTTTAGTTACTAATAAATTTCTTTTTTATCATTCACAAAATTTTCAAAACACACATAAGAGATATATATAAAATATTGTCTTCCCAAATGTACGATTTAGTTAGTTATCCACGTTATAATCTCGAGCCTTTACTTTATGGCTGTTCGAAATACGTTCGAACAGATATTCTTTTAGTTTTGTTTAGGTTTTATAATCACTCTAGTTTTAAGTACTATTTTTTATGTATGTATTTTTGTCACTATTTGTGTAGGCTAAGTAAATGTTTGCTCGCATTTTATTGCCGTTTCAGGTACTGTGTGTGATATGATCGCACAGTTTAGGAATTTTACGACCCCAGGTAGGGGGTAGTTGTATTAGAAGAGTGCCCCTTAGGATCATGGTTGTGATAAGAATGCCACACATGGTGGGAAACTCCAACGTTCACGGCGTTGTGGGAAATGCAAGAGTTAAATGATAAGAATATTGTATAGAATAGATAGGCTAAGAATTATTAGGCATCGCTACTCTTAAGTAAAAGAAAATGAAAATAAAATCAGTGTTCAAGAAACATTCAAACAAACATCAACGCGTCTGCATTATTCCGTTCAATGGCTGTTTAAGGATATTACAAAGTCGGGTTGTAATATAAAATTCTAAATATCCTTATTTAACTCGGCTTTAACAAAAGTTCGGGCTGCTACTAATTATTTGTTGGCATGACATGAACTAATATTTTTCTGTATGAACTTTCCACAAATGTAATTCATGTGCGACATCTAAATTTAGATTATAAGATTATGTCTCAAATGATCTGATAAATAAGTATAATCTTCAAACTGACTGAAAATTTATTTAAAAGCTATATTTTAAAACCAATTCTCCCATATCTTCGCTTCGAATAACGTTTTTACCACTTAAGGGAACCCCCCCCCCCTTTTTTCCATTTTTTTATTTTTAAGATTTTAAATGGGCTGGTAAATGAATACCAATGCTTGTTAAGGTTTGTAACTTGGCACATATATATTTGAAGATTTAAAGAAGAAGAAAAATAATTTACCAAAAGTTGTTGTTGTTGTTTTTTGGGTTCAAAGAAAAGTCCATATATTGGATGGCGGGCATGATAACTCCTCTCTGGAACATCGGAATCCGAAAATTCCAACTGTGTTAGAAAGAGGACATGTCTGGCTCTCGTATGAACTAGGATTATTGACTTCGCACAACAATTAACAAAATGGCGGAGCTTTGAAAATTTTTGTTATAGAAAATCGCCTATTTTTTACCACAAACTAAGTTAAAAAATAAGGAAGATCTTTACCGATTGGCTTTATCCTAGTTCATACGAGAGCTACACACTCCCAGAGAAACGTGTCAAAATTTGAAACCGATTGGATTACTAGTTTTTGAGTTATCGTGCCCGCCATTCGTTTTGAGAAAAACGCGTTTAAAGGTTGAGAAGCCCTTTAGCCGTCACTTGATGCTGACACAATAAATCGGCTATATCTTCAAGAGTTCTTGAGATTTTCACTTGAAATTTTGTAGGAACATTCTAGAATTAGAGTAGATTCGAATTAAATCAAAAAAATTTTTGACACCGAGAATGACCCCCCCATAATTAATTGCAAAATTTATGTAAAATATTGTATTATTTCTATGTTCTGAATACATATTCTCCTTCCTATTTGACCCTCAATAACTTATTTAATTGTATACATAACATATTTGACCATTCGCTTCTAAACATTTCATGAATATGCCATATTTTTTAATAAGGTTGTCATCAAAAATGTTAAATAACTATTAGGACCGCAGGACTCCGCAGCTAATTTTTTTTATTCCTTAAATAACACACTTTTCACCACTCAAATAAAAAAATTAGAGCTAACCTTTTTTACTTTTTTTCTGCTCCACTAATTTCAAAATTTGTTTTAAAAATTTGATGAACTAAGTACTACAAGTGTGGACGACTGTATACACCATAT